TGTCGTGTGGTACGTTATGCTGTGGGTAGCCGCAAGGCGTGAATCCTAGAATGTGGAATTTTGATTGTGAAAGTATATGCCTTATATAGAATGGTATGTGTTGAAATGAAGAATATATATATATTATGGAGTATAAGTATATTGTGAATGTACATAGATTGTATGTGCCTGTATGAGATGAATATGCATAGTGATATATTTGCGAATATGTATGCATGTAGAGAAATGTTGGGAGTCATTTTGCATAAAAGGCATCATGATGTACATTCTAGCGATGTTGATTCCTTGGAGAATCTGCTGTAATATTTGATTCCTCGGAGAATCTGCTGAGTATTTGATTCCTCGGAGAATCTGCTGAATATTCGATTCCTCGGAGAATCTGATGAATATTTGATTCCTTGGAGAATCTGCTGAATACTTGATTCCTTGGAGAATCTGCTGAATTGAGTCGGTACCGCATTTGCATCTGCATAGAGTTGTGAGTCAGTCTCTATGAGTTGCATTGGTCATCTTTATATGATGCATTGAGTGAGTTGAACATAATGGTAGATGTTTATGTGGAAAATGATGAGTATGTATAGAAGCATGATTTGATGAATATGCTTGATTGTGTGAATATGCATTGTGATGTATATGATGAATTGTGATGAGATGTGGTGAGAATTTGAACTGTGTAAATCCCATGTATGTATATAGATATATAATTATATGTATTGACTGTTATGATATTGTTTCTCACCCTTCTGCTGTTTTATAATGCTCTATGAGACATTGTAGAGTAGGATTGCTGGAGGTCCTTTTTGTGTGAAGCAGGTCTTCATTATTTTCGGTCGATGGCTCTGATATGTAACATCTGGGTAGTTAGGAAGCCTTTGGCTCTTTTTGGAGATACATTTGTTTTGATTTCTTTTGTGATACATCTGCATATGTATCTGATGATGGATGTTTGTACATATGAATTAACTGAATGATGTATATATGTTTATATGAATGTATTGATTCAATGTTTAGATGTTTCCGCTTTATTCTAAATATTGAGATGTGGGTTTTAGAACTATGTTCTTCAGTTGCGAATTGCCCATTGTTGCATATCTATTTGAGCAGATGTTGTATGTGTTTAATTTCATAATAATGTGATACACCTCTTTTATATCATGTATTAATTAAACTCTGGTGAAACTTTTATCAAGCGCCTAAATGATTTAATTGTTTATTTTGGGGTATAGAAAGGGGGTGTTACAGTTTTCATTCCCAAGGCAGTAGGCGGACACTTATTTTTGAAGTATGCTGCACTCACAACAATTTATGTCCAAATACCTTCTTTAATCCTACACTAACCAACATGCATCTCACTCTTTCTAGAATGATTCGATTAAACCTTTCAGCCAAACCATTTTGTTAAGGAGTACCTGCAGTAGTTTTATGCCTTGCAATACCAGACACAACACAATAATCATCAAAAACCTCATTGAAAAATTCAAAACTATTGTCGGTTCTCAATCTCTTGACCTTCCTGCCAGTTTGATTTTCGACCAGAGTCGTCCAACTTTTGAATATTTCAAAAGTTTCATCCTTAGATTTTTGAATGAATACCCACAACTTTTGTGAGTAATCATCAACTATGGATAGAAAATATCTTGCACTTGAGGGTAAAAGATTTCTTGCAGTCCCCCAAAGATCAGCATGGATATAATCAAGGGATCAATGTGTTCTTTGTTTACCTTTGTTGAACTTCAGTCTGCAGGATTTACCAAAAACACAAGGTTCACAAAACTCTAGTTTTTCGACCTTGTCACCACATAGAAAATTTTGTTTTGACAATTTGACCAGGTCTTTTTCACTGACATCACAAAGTCTCTTGTGCCATAACTCAGTCTTTAACACAAGTTTTATGGATGACACATCTGTTGAACCACTTACAACCTCATCCTCAAAGATATGGAAGTCTTGCCTCTTGATGTCTATCAAGACTTCCTTCGATCACTTCATTACCCTTAAGATATTTTTCTCTCATTTGAAAACACATCCTTTCTTGTCTGATTCACCAAGAGAAATCAAATTTCTCTTAAAATCAATTACATACCTGACATTAATCAATATCCTTGTTGACTCATCATGGAACTTGAATCTGACAGATAAAATTCTTGCAATCTTGTAGGCTTTGTTGTTTCCCGACATCGCTAATCCACCATCTTGGTCACATAATTCCTCAAACATGTCTTTGTTTGGAGTCATGTGCCAAGTACACCCTGAATCCATAATCCACTTCTTGCTAGAGTTACTGCTTGAAATTACTAGGAAATCAGATGAGATATAATCATCTTGCACAATGGCTGCATTACCATTATCCTTTCCACCGTGATTATTTAGTCTATTAGAGCACACCTTTCTTGTATGACCCTTATTATTACAGTGATAACACCTAATTGCAGGAGTATTACCACCATAAGCATTCTATAGAACCTTACGCTTATTCTTCTCAAATCTACCATCTTTCTTCAATAATTTTTCTTTTACGGACAATCCTTCACTAACAGAAGATGGTTTTTACTCCTTAATTTCATTTAGGTCCTTCGAATACAAGGCTGATTGAACTTCTTTAAAGGTCACAAAAACATCCATCTTCTTCAATCCTTTAAATGCTTTTAACAAACCATGATGAACCAGTAGGGCTTACATCTTTAAGCGCCATAAACCGAAATCATTCACACTGGTGAATTTCTCAATCTCATACTTTGTTGACGACATCTTCTCCTCCACGCTCACCGCACCAATTTATTGTGGAACGATGCTCAAGAAAACAAAATATGATAGATTTTTTACTAACAAGAAAATCATAAAGCAAAGGAAAAGATAGAATAAAAAAGAAAGACAATTCAACGTGGCTAAAAACTAGATTCTTGATTCAATTGCATATTAGGGAACAATGTTTACAATTGATTCTCAACCACACCACTTTCTCCTTATAATTAGGATTATTAGTGATTGATGAAGAAGTGAGAACTAATATGCTATTTATAAGAAAATTGAACCTTAACTTTCAACTAACATACTAAATAATTGACCCCAGCAAACTTACCCAACTCAACATGCTAACTTAAAAAATAAGCTAACATATTTCTACATGTAAGAAAAAGCGTCGACTACGACATGCACAACTTCGATTACTGTCGAACCATAAAATTAACTTTGTCGAAGATAGAGTTTGATCTACATATCACATAATCTATAAATTACAGGCATAATATATTATGTTTGAGTAATTATGTTGAAGTTAAGTCGTATAACTTCTCATCTATACACTGTCAATATACTTCCTCAGTTTGAAATTATAAAATATTTTATATGATTTAAAAAATTTAATAAGATAAATTATAAATAATTTTACAATAGTATTATAATTCATTAATTACACAGAAAAAATTAAAATAGTTGAAAGAAGAAATAAAAATAAAAAATAAAAAATATTAAAAAATAATATTAAACAATAAAAATATAAAGTAACTTATGATTTAAGAAATTTTTTTTATAAACCATTTTATAACTTAGCACGGTGATAATAAATTTTAGGCATAATCGATAATATATTATTCTTAATCTATTTTATTTTAAATTGAGTCTAAACCTTTATAGGATGAAGATGTTTGTTTTCTTAACTTCTTTTTACCCAAGAGGCTAGTCATAACATAACCCTATGATACTTACTATGGGGTAGGAGCTAATTAGATCACAATATATATTAATAATGTACCTAACCCAGAATTAGGTACCAAAACAAAACATCATCTTTTCATTTTCCCCATTTGTACTTAACACGCTATTATATCTTACCAACTTCACCAATTTTACCAATTGTAACAAAGAAGGAAAAAAAGTTGCAATAAATCATATTTATATAGTCATTTAATCATACCTTAAATAAAAGATTAACATTAAAACATGATTCACCGCCCTTCTGACATTGATGTTACGTTAACGTGGCACTGAGTGATATCATCAATGTAAATAAACTCTAAAATAAAAAAACTATTCTAGTTGTTTACAGATTGGTCTCTTCGAATACTTCCAAAATTGTTTTTCAATTTGAATCCGATTATTTATTTTTTTTCAAAAGGAAAAGAAAAAATTAAATTCAATGTTACTATTTTTTTTTCCAAATATATTCCTTAAATGATATTTCCAAGGCATGAATTGGACCGTAGTGATAAAACTAAAATTAAAGCATATTTATAAAATTTTATTTTTTTAAATGAATTTAATTGATATACAGTATAAAGATTTTTTATACGGTCAATTAATTAAAACTGTTGATTTATTTAAAATATTTAACTTTTATATTAATTATTTAAAAAATAATACTAATAAATAATGGTGATATATTGACAATATAAATTTTTTTATATAGACAGTATATAATAATAAAACTTTTTTTATTACTTTTTCAAAAACATACATTATTGTTTTTGTACTATTATAATCATATCAATTGTCCTCAAAAGGGCAAAATATGTTTTATTTTTTAGTTTAATTTTTATCACTTTTCAAAAACATACATTATTGTTTTTGTACTATTTTAATTATATCAATTTTGTTTCAAAAGTGAAAATTATGTTTTACTTTTTTTATATTTATTTTAAATTTTTGTCTACGTTCATGTTGTTCTAATTCCTAGAATTCAACAAATTCAAGTCTTTATAATTCAACCGAGTAAATATAGATTTATTTTTAAAATGAATGTATCTCGTTTATATTTGTGGTCAAATAAATTAACTATTTAATAAATATAAAAATATATATTTTTATTATAATGACTAAAAGATAATTACCGTTGAACCAGATTATAATTAATAATTTATTTTTCTTTATCATTCTAATTTTATTGAATATCATGAATATTTTTTTTGTCTACATAGTATTATAAATAGAAGAGCTATAGGCATAGTTTTCTTCATCACAACATTAAAGTTGGTACTAGTTCTATAAACAATACACATTCAACTATGGCTACTCTTATTGCTCCTAGCAACCATTCTCCACAAGAAGATGCTGAATCTCTAAGAAAGGCTTTTGAAGGTATAATCAATGTTCATTTGTTTTTTTTAAGTTTATTTTTTCATGAAAATATGTAACAAAATTGATGAATCTTAAACATATGATGTTGTATTTTAATTAATGATGAAATTTGTGTAGGTTGGGGTACTGATGAGAGAACAGTGATAACAATTCTTGGTCATAGAAACTCTCATCAGATTCAACAAATCAGAAGAGCTTATGAAGAAATTTATCAAGAGGATCTTATCAAACGTTTGGAATCTGAACTCAAAGGAGACTTTGAGGTAACTTTGATTATCAAACTTTATTTTGTGAACTGTTTTTTGGAATGTGTTGATGAATTTTGAAATTTGGTTTAACTTTATCAATCCAACAGAAAGCTGTGTACCGTTGGATCTTGGAACCTGCTGATCGTGATGCTGTTTTGGCCCATGTTGCTCTCAAGAGTGGTAAGAACTACAATGTGGTTGTTGAAATTGCTGCCATTCTCTCCCCGGAAGAGCTTTTTAACGTGAGACGCGCTTATATTAAGCGCTATAAGCACTCTTTGGAAGAGGATTTGGCTACTCATACCTCTGGTCATCTTCGTCAGGCAAGTACTTTTTCTGATCTAGGGTTTTAAATTGCTGTCAATTACAATTCAGGTTTATTCAATTGATAATAATGTGATTCTATGAATTACGGACATAGACATGGACACCAGACGTATGGGTTGTTGATTATACTGATGAGGTTTTATGCTTAATATTTTGAGCAGCTTTTGGTAGGGTTGGTGACTGCATTTAGGTATGTTGGTGATGATGTGAATGCAAGATTGGCACAAAGTGAAGCTGATATTCTTCATGAGGCTGTGAAAGAGAAGAAAGGAAGCCAGGAAGAAGCTGTTAGGATCTTGACTACAAGGAGTAAGGCTCAGCTGATTGCAACTTTCAACCGTTACAGAGAGACTCATGGTACTTCCATTACTAAGGTATAGCTAAAAAATCTTAAACACAGACACAGCAATGAAATTGAGAAATGTAAAATTCTGATGCAATTCATTGTGTGAATTTGTGTTCATTTTTACTCTAACAGAAGCTGTTGGATGAAGGATCTGATGATTTTCAAAAGGCTTTGTATACCACCATTCGTTCTTTCAACGATCATGTTAAGTACTATGAAAAGGTATAACTCACTTCTTTTTTTCCGGCAAATCACGCATCATATACTGTGGTTTTGAATTGCTGTCGTGATCGTAGATGTTGTTGTAGTTGAAGATGTTGTGACGGTGGTTATTGTAGTTTGTGCTGATGTGCTTTGTGGCCGTTACGTAGTGAATTTTAATTGGGATGTGTTTGAAATATACCCTTAAAGAACATTTGATGTTAAGATTTTTATTACATATTCTGCAATTTTGGGCGAAATTATTTAATGTGATTTCTAATGGCAGTCGGATGCATGATTTTAATTCGTACTGCAATGTGTCTGATGCGGTTGCAATTGTAGTTGCAGACTGCAATTTAAAACCAGATCATTAATGTTATCAGATGGTTATGAGGAATTTTCTAATAGTGATTTCACTTGACATTTTCTGATCTTGTTATAGGTTGTGAGAGATGCGGTGAAGAAGCTTGGAACTGACGAGGACGCACTCACCCGTGTGATTGTGAGCAGGGCTCAACATGATCTGAAAGCCATCTCAGATGTTTATCACAAGAGAAACAGTGTTCCTTTTGAGCATGTTGTGGCTAAAGAAACCTCAGGAGATTACAAGAAGCTCCTTCTCACTCTTTTGGGCCAAGAAGATTGAGTTTTTCCTTTCTCTATGAGTGTTGTTTTTAGTTTTTCTTTGCTTTGTGAGAACTTGAAGTTCAAATCTTGTTATGTAGTAGTATGTTATGATTGATGCTTCATTTTGACATATTGTGTTTAAGTTTTAACTCTTATTAATAAATCATACATGAGGAACTAGCTCAAAAATAAATAATGATGTATATCAATGTTTGTAGAAATCTTATATCTTAGAATAAGATTAAGGATAGTGTGCTCTATTAAAATTTGACTACTAGTCAAAAAATTATCCACGCAACTAAATTATTAAGTGTTCAAGACGGCCCCCAAAATCGAAACAAAGAAACACATGCAAGTCTAGATCAATATGACAGCTATTCTCAATTCATGTTGCACTCTATTTTTGGTTTAAACCTCCTCTACTAGGTAGGAGAGAATGCGTCCTTCCGTTGTACTGAAAACTTGCTCTCCGCCCCAAAGTTTTGTTTTATTGTTTACCGAACATCCCGAAGTTATATGAACTATGACCTACTTTTTTAGTTGTATTTCAAACACATAAATTCAAGTTACAAGAAACTATTGATTCTCTAAATGTTGGAAATATGGGCCAAGATAACTGAGGTGAGCTGTGTTCCTTGGCCTTTTCATGTTGCCATAAGAACATTAACAATATTATATTTCACCTAGAAAAAATCATCCGAATCAATTGTGCTATGTGTCCAAGTGTGTGATGATCATTACATAAAGCCAAACAAGGAAGGTGTCTATACTAAACAACGAAGTAACAAGACAAGACAAACATTATTGTAGAACTTCAAAGTTAAAATGACCAAGCATGAGATTTTTCATAATTGTTCAATACATTTTCAAGCAATAATTGATTTTCAGCCTGATCAGATTATACGTTTTATTTTGACATAGATAAGATAAGATGCGTAATTGTATAGGAATCCATTTCTCTTATATGAATAATTGTATATAATTCAGTTTTTTTTTAAAATGATTTCTATAACATTTATGTTTTAAAAAAATTATAAAGAATTTTTGAATAAAAATTTGAAATGAAAAGTTGGCCTAGATAGTTATTCTTAAATGATATTTTATCATTTTATTATCATTTTTTTTAATATCAAAATTTAAAAGAATCATTTTTTTCAAATAGTTTTTTTTTTATAGAAAATTATATTTGACATATCATTTTTTGAGAAAAAAATGCGACTTCGACTTTATTTAATAATATATGTTTATATAGAATGTTAAAATTAGTTTTTCAACTCATAAAAAATAAATGGCTTAATTGCAACTATGACCCCCCTATTTTGCATTTTTTTTTGGTTTTGATCTCTCCATTTTAAAAATCACTATTTTAGTCCCTTTATTAAATTTTGAGTTTGATTTTAGTCTCTTCTCCAATTAAATTTTTATTATTAATTTTTATATTTAATTAATTAATCAAAATTTAAAATAAAAAACTTTGGGCCAAACCTTTTTGTCTCATGCCTTTGATCCATCTTTTTAAGACACAATTGATTTGTTTTGTTTGTGTAACATATATAAACACTAACAACATTTGTAATGAAAATAATGTGGGACTACTATAACACCATCTACTATTATGCTATGTTATTTATCTCATCTTTTCACCCTCTCTCTATAGCTCTCTCTCCATATAGCCATGTGCAAGTTTTTTCCTTCATAACCATATAGAATAAACAATCAAAGCAAATATCAATTCAGATTAAAAATGCATAATGGTAATTCTGTTGTGCAAATCGGGCTTACCTGAATATCCAAGGTTATAAAACTCACAAAACTAAAGTGTTCAAAATATTCATATAATCTTTGACCTTTCTGCAAATATAATACATAATTCTTCTTAAAACACCGTGTATCATAAGGATGCAATTGATAACATGACAAAATAATAACTTCAATACAACTCATTTAAGTCAACTTCAGCCACCATTTCTAACTCTGCACTTCAGTTTTAAGGTTACTATTAGAGGTAGTCTTATGATGCACAAGTGAGACAATACTTGCATCATGCACAAATAAACAAATAAATAAATAAAGTAAAACTGAAAGTGTATTTGTAGAACCTTTGATCCAGTAAATCAACAAATAAAATTGTTAAGCAATGTCGGTGTTCTCATTTCTCAACATGCAAGCAATATAAATATTATCCTTAGCCAACATTACTTCAGATGTATGTTATAGCTATGCAAATTCATAGCTGTCAATATAAACACCATTATCTGAATTGCAGAGTTTCTATGGACATACAAATCTAGCAGTGATGGACATTATCCACTTATGGGAATTCACAACTATCCAACTATATTCAAAGCTTTATCTCCGCACTAAATTGTCCAATTCTTTTAAGGAAGGGAATTTATCATTTGTTCATGGATAATGCATGGTCGAATTCTCCCTTTGTTACAGTTTCCTAAACAAAAATTTATTATAACATTGAACAATGTTCTAACAGTAAGCATTCATGAAGGCATCCTACTCAACAT